GGCAAATGATATATCTTCTGAGAAAATAAGGGTGGGTGGAGAGGATATGTCATTTGCCAAAATAAGTTTTACCGTAGCAAGTATTAGCCCCGCCCACCCGCCCCTATTTTCTCGGAGGGTATGTCATTTTCTGAAATAAGACTTATCTTAGCAAGTACTGGCAAGTACTATCCTATGACAAAATAAAGAGCGGGTGGGCCGGGCTAGTACTTGCTAACATAAGTCTGATTTTGGCAAACGGCATATCGTTTGAGAAAATAGGGGGTGGGTGGGCGGGGCTAGTACTTGGTAAGATAAGAGTGAGTTTGGCAGATGACATTACCTCTAAGAAAAGAGAGGGTGGGCGGGCGGGGCTAGTATTTGGTAAGATAAGACTGATTTTGGCAAATGACATATACTCTGAGAAAATAAGGGGCGGGTGGGCGGGGCTAGTACTTGATAAGTTAAGACTGATTTTGGCAGATGACATATCCTCTAAGAAAAGAGAGGGTGGGTGGGCGGGGCTAGTATTTGGTAAGATAAGACTGATTTTGGCATATGAGATATGTTCTGAGAAAAAAGTGGGCGGGTGGGCGGGGCTAGTACTGGCTAAGATAACACTTATTTCGGTAAATTACATATCCCCTGTCTTTTTTGAGAACCTAAAACCTTGTCTGGGTGCCAAATGTATTTTTTAAGGATGTGAAAACTTCTCTAGGGTCCCAATTGTCTTCTTTAAAAATGTAAAATCTTCTTGGACACTCCAAATGTCTTTTTTTTAATGTGAAACCTTCTCTGGGGTCCCAAGTGTCTTTTAAAAATGTAAAACTTTCTCGGGGGCGCTAAATATATTTTTTAAGGATGTGAAACCTTCTCGAGGGTGCCAATTGTTTTTTTTTTTAATGTAAAACCTCGGGGGTGCCAAAGGTTTTTTTTTAATGTGAAACCTTCTCGGGGGCCCCAAACTTTTTTTTTTAGAATGTGAAACCTTCTCGGGGATCCTAATTGTTTTTTTTTTATGTAAAACCTTCTCGGGGGTCCCAGGTGTCTTTTTTAATATAAAACCTTCTCGGGGGCGCCAAAGGTTTTTTTTTAATGTGAAACCTTTTCGGGGGTCCCAAGTGTCTTTTTTTTTAATGTGAAACCTTCTCGGGTGTCCCAAGTGTCTTTTTTAATGGGAAACCTTCCCGGGGGTCCCAATTGTCTTTTTTTTTATTGTAAAACCTTCTCGAGGGTCCCAACTGTTTTTTTTTTAATGTGAAACCTTCTCGGGAGCGCCAAACGTTTTTTTTTTCTTTTTAATGTGAAACCTTCCCTTTGGCCTTTTTTTAATGTGAAATCTTCTTGGGGTCCCAAGCATCTTTTTGAAAAATGTAAAACCTTCTCGGGGGTGCCAAATATATTTTTTAAGAATGTGAAACCTTCTCAAGGGTCCCAATTGTTTTTTTTTAATGTGAAACCTTCTCGGGGGTCCCAATCGTCTTTTTTTTAATGTTAAACCTTCTCGGGGGTCCTAGGTGTCTTTTTTAATGTAAAACCCTCTCGGGGGTCCCAAGCGTCTTTTTTAAAAATGTAAAACCTTCTGGGGGGCGCCAAATGTATTTTGTAAGAATGTGAAACCTTCTCGAGGTTCCCATTTGTTTTTTTTTTAATGTAAAACCTTCTTGAGGGCGCCAAAGATTTTTTTTTAATGTGAAACCTTCTCGGGGGTCCCAATTGTCTTTTTTTTTAATGGGAAACGTTCTCGGGTGTCCCAAGTGTCTTTTTTAATGGGAAACCTTCCCGGGGGTCCCAATTTTCTTTTTTTTTATTGTAAAACCTCGAGGGTCCCAACTGTTTTTTTTTTTTAATGTAAAACCTTCTCGGGAGCGCCAAACGTTTTTTTTTTTTAATGTGAAACCTTCTCGGGGGTCCCAAGTATCTTTTTTTTAATGTGAAACCTTCCCTGGGGTCTTTTTTTAATGTAAAACCTTCTCGGGAGCGCCAAACGTTTTTTTTTTTAATGTAAAACCTTCTCGGTGGTCCCAAGTATCTTTTTTTTAATGTGAAACCTTCCCTGGGGTCTTTTTTAATGTAAAACCTTCTCGGGAGCGCCAAACGTTTTTTTTTTTTAAATGTGAAACCTTCTCGGGGGTCCCAATTGTCTTTTTTTTTAATGTGAAACCTTCTCTGGTGTCCCAAGTGTCTTTTTTAATGGGAAACCTTCCCGGGGGTCCCAATTGTCTTTTTTTTAATGTAAAACCTTCTCGAGGGTCCCAACTGTTGTTTTTATCACGCTTTTATTAGCTTAGGTTGTATGTATCTATGTATGTATGTATGTATGTAACGGACTCTTTGAGCTTAATTTTCATCGGTTTCTAAAAGTCTGATCATCTTGAAACTTTGCACACGTCTCAAGGATCGATGACAATGCAATAATTTGATAACAGTTTCCCATTATCCTTATTAGGACCGCCAGGATCCTCGATCCTACGGAGACCACTGAGTGGTTCTTTCTAGAAAAATCTAAATAAGTAATTAATTCCCCAATTTATGAATTTGTCGCAGACTAAAAAATGAAAAATAAATAATAGTTTAAAAAACTAAAAAAACACGCTTTTATTGCTAATCGAACTAAAAACTAGAAAATAATTTTTAATGACAGAGTTTAATATTACAGTAGTAGAAGATCAAACAATCAATCATAATAAATCACCTCCAATTAAAATTATAATAAAATTTAAGTTATTAACAGAATAATTCAATTCAGAGTAAAAAGCGTGGGGTGCATTTTACTGCGGTTCATAACTATCCTCTCATAGATAGTTGCCAATAGAATGATTGTAATATTTAAAATATCAAGCACCCCACGCTTTTTACTCTGAATTGAATTATTCTGTTAATAACTTAAATTTTATTATAATTTTAATTTGAGGTGATTTATTATGATTGATTGTTTGATCTTCTACTACTGTAATATTAAACTATGTCATTAAAAATTATTTTCTAGTTTTTAGTTCGATTAGCAATAAAAGCGTGTTTTTTTAGTTTTTTAAACTATTATTTATTTTTAATGTAAAACCTTCTCGGGAGCGCCAAACGTTTTTTTTTTTTAAATGTGAAACCTTCTCGGGGGTCCCAAGTAAGTATCTTTTTTTTAATGTGAAACCTTCTCGGGGGTCCCAATTGTCTTTTTTTTTTAATGTGAAACCTTCTCGGGTGTCCCAAGTGTCTTTTTTAATAGGAAACCTTCCCGGGGGTCCCAATTGTCTTTTTTTTTTAATGTAAAACCTTCTCGAGGGTCCCAACTGTTTTTTTTTATGTAAAACCTTCTCGGGAGCGCCAAACGTTTTTTTTTTTTTTTAATGTGAAACCTTCTCGGGGGTCCCAAGTATCTTTTTTTTAAGGTGAAACCTTCCCTGGGGTCTTTTTTTAATGTAAAACCTTCTCGGGGGCGCCAAATGTATTTTTTAAGAATGTGAAACCTTCTCGAGGGTCCCAATTGTTTTTTTTTTTAAATGTAGAACCTTCTCGGGTGCGCCAAAGGTTTTTTTTTCATGTGAAACCTTCTCGGGGGTCCCAATTGTTTTTTTGTTTAATGTGAAACCTTCTCGGGGGTCCCAATTGTCTTTTTTTAATGTGAAACCTTCTCGGGGGTCCCAAGTGCCTTTTTTAAAAATGTAAAACCTTCTCGGGGGCGCCAAATGTATTTTTTAAGAATGTGAAACCTTCTCGAGGGTCCCAATTGTTTCTTTTTATTAACGTAAAACCTTCTCGGGGGTCCCAAGTGTCTTTTTTTTTTTAATGTGAAACCTTCTCGGGGGTCCCAATTGTCTTTTTTAAAAATATAAATCCTTCTTGGAGGACCCAAATGTCTTTTTTAGGTGAAACCTCGAGATCTTGATTGCTTTTTTTTTGTCCATGCAACTTATTAGAACATTCACTAAATAATTATAACAAACTATTTACTAAAGGAAGCAATGAGGGGTGTTTGACTGCTCCGCCTCCTTGCTGCGGGTTTCCATAATCCCCAAACACTCAGGTAGAATGAAGTGGACAAGGATCAAAATGTCCTGGTTTGATTACAGAAAATTAATGACCTCATCACAAAATTTTGCCGAATAAATGTTATTAAATTTTATAAAATTAAAAAAAATATATATATAGTAAAATAATAATCGACACAGTCGCATTCATTCCTCCGGACAATTTGTATTATTTTAATAGACATTTTTTTTCTTAAATAATAATACAAACAAATATTTAATATTGTGGGGATTTTCAAGCCCCCATATAATATCATTTAATCATAACGAATTAAACGACGGAACTTTCAGGACATTGGACGTTTTAGATAAAATTTTCTATGCCGCACGTGGGTCAACGCGTTATTATCGTACGCGTGTGACACTTCACACTCCGATAGTAATAATGCGTTTATAGTACGCGGCGTAAATAACTAATGTTTGGCTGGTTTAAAACGTTATCGTAGCCCACCGGTTGCATAAAGTTTGGTTATATTGTGTTGACGTTGTTTGTTTGTTTGAATGCGATATAAATATACAAATAAGATTTTTGTGTAATTAGTGCTTTAGTTCTGGTTCCGAAACAATGAATTCACTTTTTCAGAACCGGAAGACTACGCTATAATTTCATAGTAGCGAAAATTTAAAATTTCCCCGTAATGCCACACGGTAACCCAGGAATTCTCCAAACATCAGAAAAATTTCCACGTGTACGTAGATAAATGTAAAAACCCGGCGACCGTCACCCCGAAATCGGAAAAAAGTACGAAATCGTGTCCAAGTCAACCCGCCCGGCTATGACTCCCCGCCCTTATCACTGTTTATTTACTTACAGATGTTCGTATTTCCCCTTAACCTGCCAGTTACAGCAGATAAAGTCAGTTCTGCTCACTTGACGTCATATTTACTCATCACTTGATAACAGCATGTAAGTTACAACGTAATTTCAGCTCGGTTTTCCCTATTCCACCACAGGCCGCATTAAAATTCGTCTTCAAACCTTCACATGAATCAGTACTGTGTTCCTTTGTAGCCATCACAATGCGCCTTTATGAGTCACGTCGCATTATCGTTGCATCTACAGTCAAAAGTGGCCACTCGTCCGTCCAGATTTATTGTCAGTGAAAGAATATGGAAATGCGCTGCGCGTTATGATCTTTACGAAAATCCGAGCCGCCGCAATGTCACTTTAGGTTAATGACTTTCGAGAAGAGAAAATAATTTAGTGAACGTCACGTTCGTTATCAGGCTAGATAAGATAGCGTAACAAGAGGACGGTCAGTTCCCTGTGTATTCGCCAGTATTTGTGTACGGTTGCAATATTTCGCTCGTTCAGGATGCATAAAGGTAGAATTTTTTTCGACGACGGGGTCTGCAGTGTTCTGTTTTTCTCAAGTGGGATTGTTTTTGTTACAGGTAAGGCCAAGTGACGTAATGATTCCGTTTGATGGTAATTCTCAAGGTAATTTTCCTAATTATAATGTTACTAAATAGTCTGATAAAATGTTTACTCAAGCAGTCTTTGTTCGATAGATCGAAAAGAACGCACCTTATCAGTTTATCTGTTTTTACCGTTGTAACGCCATAAAGAGCATTAAATAGACCTGTCGTAAAAAGGAAAAACACGAGATTATAACCCGCCGGTTCAGGTAGTTCGGGCGTTACTTGTCAATAATAACTAAATAGCTTACTTGACGACGCATTGGCACTGTGTCAACATTCTGCCAGAGATTACCTAGACGCGACAACACCAACCACGCGAACGTGACCCTTATTAACAACCAAAAAAACCAATACATTCTGTTATATAACTTAATTGACTTTAACTGTAAATTAGCTATTCGAATAATTTAAGTGACGAATTAAAGGTCACAAAATCATCTGTTGTCCATAATTAATTAATTACTGGTATAAATTAGCTTGGGAGACGTGGTGAGAATGAATACTTTTGCGAAATGGGGTTTCAAAATGTGGGTTACTTCGGCTAAATTGGAACGAGAGATTAAACAGTTATCTAGCAAAATGAAACCTAAATAGCCTTGACATATCGAAAGTCGAAAATCTGCACAATTTGTTGGAATTTATATTTATTAGGTTCGTCGTCTAACACGAAACCTGTTAACTTAACAATTGTGGGAGCATAAATTAACACTCTTGATACAGTGTTGTAGAGTTTTATCTTGTTGAATTGAAATCATTCGACGTGATCAATCAATCAAGTCGAGTGAGTGAATGCGTTTATTTATTATTTGATAAGTCACAGGACGGCTTTTAGTGCTTGGAAAATTTTGCTCTTTATTGTGTAAAAAAATCTTAAGATTCGAATTAGTTTGAACATATTGTCCACAATGAAGATTGCAGAGCTTTTAAAATTATTAAAGACAAGACATCTCGAAAGCAACTTTTATGGTAACGACACACTCGACGACCTTGCGTGGGGATTGTATATTGATCTGATAATGTAATGATAAGATTTCTACACAGGAAACGAAATTGGTTTGGTGGCGGATTTTAAATATTTTTATTTGGAAAGTAAATTTAGCTCGATTAGCCTGATTTACATTTTTAAAGGCTCGTTAAGTTCTCAGTGTGAATAAAACATTAATTCAGGGTTGTATGCGAAGTAAAACTTTAATTATGTATCTATTAGAAAGTAAACAGGTGATTTTGATAACGTTGTGGATTTTTATTAATTTTTGTTTGTTTAGATTTTGGATGATAACTGAGTTTTTTTGAGTTCAAGGCGGCTTTACAGAATATGAAGTGTGTGCTGAATTAATTCGTGCAATTTCTAAAGTAATCCATCAAATGCTTCCATGTACTGCAGCATATTTATTTATCATTCATTGTGCCAGGAAACATCAGATTAGATAATTTTTGGTAACTTATCGGTTGTTATCGCAATCTTATGAACTAAATTAAGTAGGTCTTCGTTTTATTAAAAAAATTTATCCTGTATTATTATTATTATTATTATGAAAGTTCTCAGAGATTATTAATAATTCTACAAGCCTATGTAAACGCAGCTTTATTTATAGCTGTTTGTAGACTGTAAAGTGTTTTTTTCTGAAAAGAAAATTACGAACTTATCGTTTTTAAACGGTACTTATTCCATTGATTGACTTTTAAAAGCCTAATAAACACTGGACATAAGGCTGGACAAGAAATAAAGTCGGCCATGGAGGAAACTAACTGTTGAAACCTTGAAAGACGAAGAATCGAAGTCTGTTTGTATAGTTTTATTTATTTTTTTTTTGAAAGAAGAAAAAAAAAGTTAAAATATTTGTTTAGAGTGTGACACTATATTACATTTTTTTTTCGTGATACAAAAAATGTGCTATATAAACATGACTTGGTCCATCTTTCAAGGTTATTAAATACACGTAAGATAAAGTAGTTTCCAATTTTTTACGTAGTTGTCAAAATTCCAACAAAGATATGGTTAAGATTTCCGAGAAAAAATTTATGTATGTATACACTTTAAAGTAAATATTTTGCTACAAATAACTTGTCTTTACAATATTTTGATATTTTAGAAATCCCGCAGTGACTTTACGATTAAGTTCGGCGCAGTCCTACACATGTAGTTTATGACTCCGTGTTGAATTTTTACCCGGAACGTCCAGAAACAACATTTTTCAATTTAATTTTGAATCCGCCAAACTCAATGCTTTGAAATTTATGGTAACCATAATAATTATTTCATCAAAATATATTCGCTTATCCCCGCCAAAAAATTGATGACGTCATCCAAAAATTTTACCAGATAAATATTATCAAAAATATGCAATATATGATCAGTCTATACTTGTGTTTTATCCATTCATATTTTTTAGATTTGCTTAAACAGGGTGATTCAAAAAAATCAATGACTGAATTGTTTAAAAATAAATCCAATCAGAATTAGGAATTTAATTTCTTACTATGGAAATTTGCAATTTAACAACTTTTAAATTTAACAAGTTTTTACAAGTTTAATAGTGGCAAAATCAGTCTTATCTGAGCAAGTACTAGCCCCGCCCACCCGCCCCCTATTTTCTCAGAGGATATGTCATTTGCCAAAATCAGTCTTTTCTGAGCAAGTACTAGCCCCGCCCACCCACCCGTATTTTCTTAGAGGATATGTCATTTGCCAAAATTAGTCTTATCTTACTAAGTACCAGGCCCGCCCACCCACCCTCTACATTCTCAGAGGATATGTCATTTGCCAAAATAAGACTTATGTTCGCAGGTACTAGCCCCACCCACCCACCCACCCGTATTTTCTTAGAGGATATGTCATTGCCAAAATCAGCCTTCCCTTATCAAGTACTCGGCCCGCCCACCTGTCCCCTATTTTCTCAGAGAATATGTCATTAAATTTGCCAAAATAAGACTTATGTTAGCAAATACTACCCTCGCCTACCCGCCCTTTATTTTCTAAGAAGGTAGTACTTGCTAAGATAAGTCTTATTTTGGCAAATGACATTTTCTCTGAGAAATCAGAGGCGGGTGGGCGGGGCTAATACTTAATCTGATAAGACTGACTTTGGCAGACGTCATAGTTCTGAGAAAATAGAGGGCGGGTGGGCGGGCTGAGTACTTGGTACGGGAAGACTGATTTTGGCAAATGACATATCCTCGGAAAAAATACGGGCGGGTGGGCGGGGCTAGTATTTGTTAAAATAAAATTGATGTTGCCCCTATTATTCTTCTAAAAACTTGCGAAATTTAAGGGTGTTAAATTACCAATTTCCATGGTTCTCAGAGGATATATCATTTACCAAAATAAGACTTACGTTAGCAAGTACTAGCCCCGCCCACCCACCCGTATTTTCTTAGAGGATATATCATTTGCCAAAATTAGTCTTATCTTACCAAGTACTAGACCCGCCCACCCGCCCCCTACTTTCTCAGAGGATATGTCATCTGCCAAAATAAGACTTATGTTAGCAGGTACTAGCCCCGCCCACCCACCCGTATTTTCTTAGAGGATATGTCATTTGCCAAAATCACTCTCATCTTACCAAGTACTAGACCCGCCCACCCGCCCCCAACATTCTCAGAAGATATGTCATTTCCCAAAATAAGACTTATGTAAGCAAGTACTAGCCCCGCCCACCCACCCGTATTTTCTTAGAGGATATATCATTTGCCAAAATAAGACTTATCTTAGCAAGTACTACCCTCTGAGAAAATAAAGGGCGGATGGGGAACTAGCACTTGCTAACATAAGTCTTATTTTGGCAAATCATACTTCCTCTGAGAAAATAGCGGGCGGGTGGGCGGGCCTAGTACTTGGTAAGATAAGACTGATTTTGGCAGATGACATATCCTGTAAGAAAATACGGGCGGGTGGGCGGGGCTAGTATTTGTTAAGATAAAACGGATGTTGCCCCTATTATTCTTGTAAAAACTTGTGAAATTTAAAAGTGTTCAATTGCAAATTTCCATCGTTCTCAGAGGATAATGTCATTTACCAAATAAGACTTATGTTAGCAAGTACTAGCCCCGCCCACCCACCCGTATTTTCTTAGAGGATATATCATTTGCCAAAAGTACTACGCCCGCCCACCCGCCCCCTACATTCTCAGAAGATATGTCATTGGCCAAAATAAGACTTATGTTAGCAAGTACTAGCCCCGCCCACCCACCCATATTTTTTCAAAGGATATGTCATCTGCCAAAATCAGTATTCCCTTACCAAGTACTCGGCCCGCCCACCCGCCCCTATGTTTTCAGAGGATCTGTCATTTGCTAAAATAAGACTTATGTTAGCAAGTACTAGCCCCGGCTACCCGCCCCTTATTTCTTAGAAGGTAGTACTTGCTAGTACTTGCCAACATAAGTCTTATTTTGGCAGATGACATTTCCTCTGAGAAAACACGGGCGGGTGGGCGGGGCTAGTACTTAATCAGATAATACCGATTTTGGCAAACGCCATAGCTCTGAGAAAAAAGAGGGCGGGTGGGCGGGTTCAGTACTTGCTTGGATAAGACTGATTTTGGCAGATGACATATTCTCTGAGAAAACACGGGCGGGTGGGCGGGGCTAGTACTTGCTAAGGCAAAACTTATTTTGGCAAATGACATATCCTTTAAGAAAATAGGGGGCGGGTGGGCGGGGCTAGCATTTGCTAAGATGAGACTGAGTTTGCCCCTATTAAACTTGTAAAAACTTGTTTCCATTGTAACGAGTTAAATGTTTTTAAGGCGGAACACACAATTTGGCTTTGTTAAATGAAACACCCTATATATGTTGCGTATTTTGATTGACTTCTTCGTAAGTTTATGTTTGGAATTATGTTGCAGCGTTATTCCAATTTTCTTGAATATTTAATTAAAAAAACTGAAATATCGACGTTTAAAATTGTAGTTTTACATTTTTTTATGAACACTGTGTATTAAAATTTGATTTAGTTGTTATTACAACAAAGT